ACGGCCCTTGGGAGTCCCAGTGGGTCAGTCATTGGCTGGGCCTCCCCAGAAAGGAGTGTGACCCTGAGTGAGAGGCTTCCTCTCCCTGGAGAGGCCGGCAGCTGAAGCCACCGGCTGAGGGGGCTGGGATGATGGGTGGGAGCTGGGCTGCGGGGCAGTGGTCCTGGCACCTCCAGCTCAGAGAGGCAAGAGGCAGGCAGAACCAGGGAGGTGAGGGCATGAGGGTGTGGGGGGGATAAGGACACATATGTAATACCTTAATCAATAAAGAAATATATATATATGGCAGGCAGAGAGACCCAGGGAGCAAGAATAAGAGATTTCCTTGGCAATGGCCTCTCCCAAGTTGATGAAAAACGGTAGGAAATCTACAAGCAGAGGGTCTGCTCCAACACCGCTCTGAGGTGTGCCGAGCTGCCCGCCCCACAGGAATCGCCCATTCCAGAAGGGAAGAACCCAGTGCCCAGTTTGCTATCAGTTCCTGGAAGGTGTGGTCAGCTGGAGGGAGCGGGGGATGGCCAACAGGAGGGAGTGGTGCAGTCTTGGCCCTGCTTTTGTCCACTTTTCTCTCTCGGTCTGTTTCCCTGAAGCAGGTGGGATAGGGGTAGGTCACCAAACCTAGCAAATGCAATTACAGGACACCCAGTGGAATTTCAATTTCAGATAAACAAGTAATGTTTTAGTGTAAATATGTGCCATACAATTTTGGGGATATACTTACACTAAGTAAAAATGTGTTGTTCAGCCCCAGCCTATCGTGGGTCAGTTGGTTGAGTGTCATCCTGTGCACCGTAAGGTCAAGGTTAGATTCCCCGTCGGGGTGGGTCCAGGAGGCAACCAATCAATGTTTCTCACATCAATGCTTCTCTCTCTCTCTCTCTTTCCCTCTCCCTCTCTCTAAAACCAATAAAAACATATTTTTGGAGAAAAAATTGTTGTTTATCTGAAATTGAAGTTTTTCTGGTAACCCTAGGTGGGTGCAGACCATGTGCTAGGCAGGGGAAGGCTGCCGCAAAGGCAGACAGGACAGGCCCACCCGCAGCCAGCCAGGGGCAGAGCAGTGACAGAGAGGGGGACGCATCAGAGGGCACAGGGGGAATCCTGGGAATCCTGCAGCAACTGGGCAGGGGCAGGGAAGGACTGGAGGAAAGGAGAAAAGGACGGGTCCCAGCCCAGCAGTCCCCGCAGCAGGAATGCAGACGGGGCCGGGTTGTCTCAGCCCGACTCCAACCCTGACCCCACCCACCAAGACAGGGACTAGGGATGTGAGAGTGCAGAGCAGCCCCTGGGCTCCGGTGCTGTCCTGGGCTCCTGTGCTGACAGGGAGTAGGGATGTGAGAGCTCAGCTGGGCCCCTGGGCTCCTGTGCTGTCCTGGGTGACTTTAGGCAACTCTGGCAAAGGTCAGGCTGGGAGGCCTGCTCAGTGGACCGTTCTGTGTATGGGGTTAGCGTGCTGGAGGGGAGTGTCTGAGAGGCGAGGTGGGCTCCACGAGGGTCTTGTAGTTTCTCGTTTGCATAGGAGGACAGGCGTCTGCTACTCGCCTCAGAGGTGACCCAGTGTATCGCTCCTGGGAATGCCAACCTCCACCCACGGTTCCCGGCCATCCCTGAAAGGGGCCAGTTTCCCCTACCTATCCTTCAAAATGAATCGTAATGATAACTATAAATTATTGGACACATCCCGTTGGCCAGGCTTCTTGTTTCATCTTTACAGCAACATTATGAGGTAAACGCCATCATCGTCCCCACTTTACAGATGAGAAAACTGAGGCTCGGGTGAATTAAATTACCAAAGCACCTCCCTAGCTAGTCAGCAGTGGGCGAGGACTCAAACCCAGGTCTGTGGGCTCAGGGGCCCCTGCTCCAGGAGTGCCTGTGCCCCTCTCACAGCCTGGATTTCAAAGACCTGGTAGCGCCGTGCCCCGTGTCTGCCCTTTGGTCAGGACTCTTGAAGGAAGGGCACAGGTTGGGATTTTCCCCCCTGAATCCTCAGTCCCCGGTACAGAGGAAATAACAGTGTTTGTTGAAAGACTAAATCTTGTTCCAAAATGTACTCAGATCCCTTCCCTGTCCCCCGTCCCTCTTCCTGTCGGCCCAGGCCTTGCAGAAGCCAGCACTTGGACTATGGAGAGCCTCCTGCGTGTCTGCTCTGAGCTGGGCCAGGCCGCTGAGGAAGGAACTAGCCTGTAACTCCCTCTGTCCTGTAGCCTCCCCCCCAAAGGAAGCCCCTCCCCAGGCAGGCGCCTGGGCCCCGGGACAAGTCCTTGGTCTCTAAAGGAGATAATGCCTTTGTCCCTTCTCAGATAAACAAACAGAGCCGGCTTGAAGTGTGTCCTGCAAGGTGCAGGAGCGGCGCCCCACCCATGGAGATAGGCCTGGCCTTCCTCCCAAGGTCACGGGCAGCTAGGCCCCGCGTGGTGCAGAGGCCACGCTTAGCCCATTCTGCAGGGAAGCCGTGCCTCCACGTTCAGGGTGGGACACGGCACTGCAGACCCCACCGTGCCCCTGGGCCCTCTCTTTGAACAAGGCCATCGGCTTCTCTACGTCTGCCCACCCAGAGCCCACACATAACCTCAGGGTCACGCCACACAGGGTACCAGTCACCGTGTGGTCTTGGTGACTGCTGCTTTTACAGGTCCAGGTGTCTATGTGCACGTACCACCCCTCCACCCATGACCCTGAGCCCCTATACACCCTTATACTCTTGCCCCTCCTACACTCCTCCCTCCCGCCCCTGCACGGTCAGATCTGAGCCACAGGAAGCAGGGCCAGCAAGTGTGCAAACCAAGAGCCAAGATTGGGGAAGTTTATTTTCCAAGAATCATCTAAACACACAGGGAGTATTTTCAGGCCCTGGCTCCCACCCAGATGCCAAATCTAAACAGGGGGTCAGAGGTCTGCCCGCTGGAGACACAGAGCAGCCAGTGGAGACAGGGTGGGACACGGCACTGCAGACCCCACCTGGCCCCTGGTCCGGAGGCCCGAATCCCTCAGATAAGGGCCAAAGGAGGGAGCTGGCATGGGAGCCAAGCGGGGGCAGAGAAGTGACTGAGGGTGGGCTGGGCCCTCTTTATGAACAAGGGGCCGCTGATGGCCCCCTATTATCTCTGAGCGACTGGCAGGAGCCAGAGGGGTCGGCTAAGGGTGGCGGGCAGCACTGGGGGAGTGATGTACTCAGAAGAGGAGGCTCTCAAGACCACACACCGTGAGAGGGACTGCCCATCAGTCTCAGCCTCCAGGGCGCGGGAGCCAGTTCCAGGGGGTGGCTGCCCACCGCTGGGTGACTGGCCAGGAGTGACCTTGCTGTGAGTGGTGTGCTGACGGCATTGCTCCCGCCTCCAGGTGCAGGGAGGGCAGGTGGAATGCTGGGAGGAGGCCTGAACCCTGGGCCCCGGACAAGCTGTGCCCATTCTGGCCCCCACTGGCCAGGTTTATTATTGTTTATTATTGTGGGGTCAGGGGGATGGGGGAGGGCGGTGTGCCTTCTGCCCGGGGTTGGAGAGGCCAAGGTTCCCCAGTCTCTTGCAAAGAGCTGGGACTTCCTGGTTCTGCTACCATGTTATTCACTGAATGTTGCCTTGAGGGCAGGGTCAGGGATGGGAGGTGGAGTGTAGAAGGGGCGAAGGGGAGGTTCGGACTTCTGAGAGCCCTGAGCTGGAAGGGGCGGGGGGTTGGTGTGCCACTTAGATCTTAGATCCCCTGCAGGCAGCCGTGGGAACCAAAGAGAACAGGTTCAGTGTCCACATACCCCCCGCTGACACAGGCTGCCTGCTGTTGCCATGGTGATGCAATGGCACTCTCCTCCCTGCCTGCCACCCACAGCTGTGTGGTCACCAGTGAAAGGAGGTGGGTGCTTATTCTTGGTCACGAAGAGGAAAAGGGAGGGGGAGCAGCCCTTTCTCCCTCTTCCCAGGCTTGGCTGGGGGTGGTCAGGGACTCTGCGGGGACCAGGGTCAGAGAGGGTTTGGAGGTCACCTCCTCCAACCAGCTCCCTCCCGTGACCCAGCTTCTTACTTCTCACTTCTCACACTGGGTAACGGGACCCCTGTGTGCTGCCCAGCTCATGCACCTCCCTGCAGGGAGCCCACCACCTCCAGACAGAGAGCCTGTTAGAGGTGTTCCCCACAGCACCCTGGCCCTGGCCCTGGGGGGGTGGGGGGAGGCCTCTTCACCCAGCAGGCCTGTTCTTGTCCCCTTCCCCTGGGTCTCAAGGCGCAAGCTCCTCCCAAACCCAGCCCTGCCCTGAATGATGAGGTCTGAGAGCCTGGGGCCCTCAAACCCTGGCTCTGAGGGCCTGGCCTGGCTTGGGACCCACCGGTGGGCCCTTATTTCCTTCTCCCTTGGCTT